GGATGACATGGGAAGCTTTCTCTCCTGACAATGGGGAGGCAAAGATGACTCCTGAACAAGTATCCACGGATACATGTACATATTTCAGTTTCCCAAAAGACGAAATATGCGTCACATCCATTTGCCAAACTTGTAAAGGCCTAATACCTCTGGGGTTGATCCCAACATGAGGTGTGGGAAGGAAGCTGCAGCAATGTTGGCAGCTAAGGACAATGTTCCTAGCTTCGGCCCTGGTTATGCTAAACCGCTTGCGCAGTGTTTCGGCAGTGACATGAAATTGTGTATGGAATTTTGAAGCTGTGGTGATAGGGTCTAGCAGGGGAAAAGCTATATTTCTGGTTGCGAGGTCTGCCAGGTGGTTGCCTTGGGTCATAGGCCCGGGAAGGCCTGAATGTGCTCTGATATGAGTTATATACAAAGGAGATTGCCTATGAAGTAGTGCTGATTGTATCTGTTTGAACAAAGTGGCTACTGGGCTGGACGCTTTGATTAGCCCGGCCACTTCTAGAGATTTGACTGCATTAACTACATAACAGGAGTCAGACACAATATTTAAAGGTTCAGGAAAGATTTGTAGGACCTCTAAGACTATGCGACATTCCACTATTTGTGGAGTGTCAGGCGTGTAGCCTTTTGTCACAACTTTGCCATCATGGACATAGGCACCTGTGCCTGTCTTAGACCCGTCCGTGTAAACTGTTTTTCCATGAGGCAGCGGGGTTAGGCTAGTGACCCGAGGAAATACTAGGAGATGATTTTTGGCGAAGTTGATGAGGGGATGTTTAGGGAAATGATTATCAAAGGTTCCTGAGAAACTGTAAGCAAGTATGGCCCAATCATCGTTCATAGCACATAATACTTGTATCTGTTCTACGCTGTAAGGGGTTATAATTTTAGCTGGAGCCTCTCCGAAATGTGTCATGGAGGTTTTTACTCCTCTCAAAGCAAGTTTGGCCACGGCTGCCGGATAGTACTCTATTGTCCTAGCCTGAGAGGCTTGGGGATGGATCCAGATCAGTGGGCCGTGCTGCCATAAAACTGCTGTTGGCAGCTCCGGGGTGGGAAGCACACACAACTCAAAGGGTTCATTCGATTGCACTCTATTTAATTGTGCTGTCATCAAAGCCTGTTCTACTTTGCGAATGGCTTGTAATGCCTCAGGTGTGAGGGAGCGCGGTGACGTTAGTTGTGGGTCTCCTTCTAGGGTTTTAAATAGTGGAGTCAATTCAGTGGTGGGTATCTTTAAGTATGGGCGCAACCAATTAATATCCCCTAGGAGTTTTTGGAAGTCATTCAAATTTCGCAATTGATTATGTCTTATCTCAAGCTTTTGGGGGCAAATTACATCTGTGTAAATGGTTGCTCCTAGGAATTTGCTAACACTAGATTTTTGGACCTTCTCGCTTGCTATATTCAGTCTCCAATTTTCTAGGGATCTAGTGAGATCTATATATGCTTCTTCTATTTCCGCTGGTTGTGGGGAGCAAAGAAGGATGTCATCCATGTAATGGATGATCTTTAGCGTGGGATAGGTCTTACGAATTGGGTCTAGCGCTCGCTGAACGTACAGTTGACATATGGTGGGGCTATTTGCCATTCCTTGAGGGAGGACCTTCCACTGAAATCTGGCATCGGGTTGTTCATGGTTAATAGCTGGCAAAGTAAAAGCAAATCTTTCCCTGTCCTTGGAGCTTAGAGGTATAGAAAAGAAACAATCTTTAATATCTATTATGAGCACTTTCCATTCTTTGGGTAAGGCAGAGAGGAGTGGCAGTCCCCGTTGTACGGGTCCAAGCATTCTCATTTGAGCATTTACTGCTCTCAGATCATGAAGCAACCTCCATGATCCTGACTTTTTCCTGATTACAAATATGGGTGTGTTCCATGGGGACACAGAGGGTTCTAGGTGTCCCACTTGGAGCTGCTCTTGCACTAAGCAATGAGCTGCTTCTAATTTTTCAGAGGATAGGGGCCACTGAGGAACCCATACGGCCTCCTCTGTGAGCCAAGGTATGGGCATGGCATCTTCAATGGCCCCTATGAAAAACCCAGGCCGTGACGGTCATTCTTTACTTTGGGCAGGATGGGCTCTATGTGTCCCTGTTGGTGTTTCCCCAGCCCCTTGCCAGGGATGTATCCCATGTCCATCATCATGCCTTGGGCGGGGGTGGAGTATTCATTAATGAGTTTGAGGCCTAAGTCTCTCATGACATCCCTCCCCCATAAATTGACCGGTAGAGGGAGTACATAAGGGGTGACTGTACCCTCTTGTCCTTCAGGGGCTCGCCATTTCAATGGTTTGGCACTAATTGAAGGGCTTGACTCATATCCTAAACCTTGTAATGAATGTGAGGATTGGGTCACAGGCCACTTGGAGGGCCACCAGGTTGCAGAGATAATACTTTTATCTGCTCCAGTGTCTAGGATTCCCTCAAAGCTCTTTCCCTCTATTTGAAGAGTTAATTTTGGTCTGTCTGCTAAATCTAATACTATGAAGGCTGAATCCCAGTCAGAGGAGCCGAAGCCCCTTTCTCCCCTCTCCGTGTTGGTAGCAGGATAATTGGCGTGGAGACTAGGTAAAACTAAGAGCTGGGCTATGCGGTCTCCCGGGGATATAGGATAGATTCCTCTGGGAGCCGAACACATGATTTTTACCTGTCCTTCATAATCTTGATCTATGACTCCGGGATGAACTACCAGGCCTTTCAATGCAGCAGAAGAGCGCCCTAGGAGTAACCCAATGGTATTTGGTGGTAGGGGGCCTTTAAAGTCTGAAGGGATAGGCTGAACTCCCATCTGTGGAGTCAACACTATTCTGGTGGTGGCACGGATGTCCAATCCCGCGGAACCTGAAGTGGCTCTCCTTGGGGGGCCTGGTTGTTCCCGAATGACACTTGCGTGCTGGTTGCCCCATATATTTGCGGGCCCTGGTGACGGGGGCCCCTCTGGGCGTTTTTTGGCAGTTCTAAGGGTTTCCCTTCTATATCTTTAATAGACCGGCACTCATTGGCCCAATGCCTGCCTTTCTTACACTTAGGGCACAACCCAGGGGTCTTTTGGGTTGTTTGTTCTGAAGCTGGGCTCCTACACTCTCTCTTTATATGTCCTAATTTCCCGCATTGAAAGCATTTGATACTTCTGTTAGTGATCCTGGCTTGTTTGTGGCTCTGTAATATGGCCGCGGCTAGGCCCGCATTGGTGAGTGGCCCTCCTATTTCTCTACAGGCTTTCAACCAGGCATGTATCCCTTTTTGTTTCCAGGGTGTTATCGCCTGTCTGCATTCCTTGGTACATTGTTCAAATACTAATTGCTCCACTAGGGGCATTGCTTGTTCCTGATCTCCAAATATTCTGCCTGCGGCCTCCATCATACGAGCGACAAAGTCAGAAAATGGCTCGCTCAGCCCCTGAATAATTTTTGTCAAATTGCCTGATACTTCTCCTTTGTTGGTGAGGGCTTTCCATGCCTTGGCGGCGCACGTGTTTATTTGTGCGTATACCTGTAAGGGGAAGGCGGTCTGGTTGGCTACCCACTGTCCTTGGCCCGTCAGCATATCATATGACCACGCAGGCTGTCCTTCGGCCGCGTTTGCGCGTGCCTGGGTCATGCTGATATCATGCCACAATGCCTTCCATTCTATGTATTGCCCCATACTAGAAAGGCATGCCTTAGTTACATATTGCCAGTCTGCGGGTGTCATGGCTGTCTCTGTTAATCTCTCAACTTGTGCTATGGTATAGTTAGCACTGACTCCATAAGCCCGAACGGATTCTGCTAACTCCTTAACTTGTTTATGGCTCAGGGGCTGGTGAGAGCGTACGCCGTTATCCTCAAATACAGGAAACATTTGTCTAATTGCCTGAAGAGTATCTGGGTGGCAAAAGGAGAGTGCGCCACTCACGTAAGGTGGCGGGGCAAAGGGCGTCGGGGGACACCCTGCTTTCATTTTTTCCTTGGTCCGCTTTTCAACTTTGCTGGTTCCCTTACTTCTACACTCTGCGGTTTTATTTTCTTCCCCTTCCTCTGCGGACGTTAATTCCTCCTCAGATTCCCTATTGGAGAGTTGGAGGTCCCTCAACTCTTTCCAGGGGTATTTACTATTTTCTCCGAGGCGATCGTCACTCGCTTCTCGGGGCTCTTTCGCTTTTGCCCTAGGCGGGCTTTCTCCCTCACTCTGAGGTTTCTTTACCTTCGTTTTTGTGGCCTTTTTTCGGCCGCGCGCGCTCTCTGTTTCCCGTTCCGTTTCTGACATGCTCTCTTGGATATCTGTCAATGCTCTCTGACCTTCTTTTATTACCTTTTCACATCTCTCATCTTGCAGACAAGCTCTAATCAGTTTCCAGAGGGGCCTGGTGCCTCCCCTCAGGCTACCCTCCTCCTCCTCTCTATCAAGATCTTTCCCCAGTTTGTCCCAGCTCGGGATTGAGAGGGACCCTGAACAAATGAACCAGGGGGCCACACGGTCTATCTCCTTCACAAAAGATCCTAAGACTTTGCTGGAGACCTTCAAGTTTCGCTCTTTGAGAGCTGTCTGCAGCGCCGTGACTAATGACGGTGCATTCCCCATGGTGCCTCCTTATTTACAGAGAACCATCAACCATCATCCTAAAAAGCAGGGGCCTCTCGGAACTTACCCCTCCGGGCTTTCTTCTGACCTGCAGTTCTGAATCCTCTCCAGATGTCTGAAGGGTCCTCCCTGTGCCGGTGATGTTCTGGTTCCCGGGATTCGGCACCACTTGTCGCGTGCCCTGTCCTCGCCGGCAAGAACAGCATGCAACAACAGCAGGATTCTTCTGCAGAAAGCTTTATTCTTCAGCTCTTTGTGAAACAAATGAGTTGGGCAGGACCCAGAGGGGAAGGAGAGGCTTGCTTATATAGTTCTCATGCTCTGACCTGGTTGGTGCGGCTCCATATGCCTTATTAGCATAACCATTTGGTGGGTCTCATTGGTCCTTATGCCAAGGCGCAATTAGCATGTAGTTTAGTGGTGTGGGATGATTTGTCATTAGGAAGTTCGGGGCCTTCCGGCTGCCCTGCATTGGGCGCTATTTTCTGAGCGCGGCTGCCAACAAGGAGAGACATTTTGAGCAGGAGGGACATTGGGGTTGGTCCTCTGGGAAGGCCGCTGTGCAGTCCCTGCCATCTGACTGCCTGGCCTGTGTCATCAGGCTGGCGGTTCGGACCGGCTCCCAACACATGATGACAACACATCACACCAAACTGAGGTGAATGAGGCATATTAAGTCTCTACACTGAAATCATAAACATCATTAGCAGCCACTTTGTCTGGAAGCCAGGTCCTCCTGCAGCTCCCTGCCTTTGGGGTCCAGGTGTGCTCTCATGACCAATGGCACTGGTTAAGCCCCCTGGATGGTCTCTGGGACAAGTGGGTTGCAACACCCTTATTTATGCACAGTAGTTTTGTGCCTAAACTTTATGATTCACTCTGGCCCAGAAGAGAGGTGGGACCCTGAACATTGGGGCTCTGTCCAGAATTCCTTCCATTTCCAGAAAATTTTGCTGCCTTATATAGGTATTAAATAATTCCTAATCAAAACTCTCATTATCTGGGGTTCCTTGTATATGCACTATTACATTTACATCCAAAACGTAAAAACAAAGTACATGCCTGCTTTCTGAGGTGACAAATTTTATGGCAGTATCTCTCTGTATCTCTTATTCACTTGAAAAAAGAGCAATCATATTTCCAAAGGCTAGGAGAATGAAGGCTGACAAAATCTCCCCAGAGCACATTCTGCGTTCATGAGACTAAAATGAACATTCCTGAGGCCGAACAGGAAAGGAAAACTAGAAGCATGGGCACAGTTATATTTCATACCTGGTTTAAGAAAAAGACATCTAGCTGCCAAAGTGCCCACCAACTCACAAAATGTGGGCCACTCCTCCAGCCCTTTCTCACAGTAGCAGTCTTCCCCACCTTCAGGCTTTATTTCCCTACAGATGGCAGGGACTGCACAGGGACTGTTTTCCCTGAAGTCCCAGAAGTGTGGGAGCAGGAGACCTGCTTCCCTGCTGTTTGTCTGTTATTGCTGTTCCCGGTGTAGCTGGCTGTGCCTCCTCCTGGGTCCCCCTCAATGCCCCCACTTCTGTAGAAGTCTCTCTGTCTGGGCCGTTGGCCCAGCAGCAGTTTCCAGGCAGCTGCTCTGTACTTCTTTGAAATGAGGTTGTAGAGGATTGGGTTGATGGACGCACTCAGATAGAAAAGTTGTAAAGCAACAATGTTAAAGTACTGAGAGAAGTGCATCATCCGGGAATCTTCGGTATTTATGTAAATGATCCTGCCAACGTGGAAAGGCAACCAGCAAACTATCAACACCAGAACGACCACCACTGCAAAACAAGGCACAGACACCAGAATTAGCTAACATCCGAAAACAACAAGGGCCCCCACCAAACCATCTGAAATAATAACAGCAAAACAAATTAGACAAAACCTAGCCTAACCCCCAGGCAGAAAGAACTACCAGACGGCAGGTAGCATTAATATTAGCTTTAATACTGCATATCAAGCTCACATATGTGCTATCCAGGCTGGACATAAACTAGAAAGAACAATTTCTACTGACAAGCTGTTCTGGCAGGCTTCCTTCCACAAACCCACTTGCAGAGACAGGCCTGTTTTCTGTGGAAAGCGACAGTTCTGCACAATCTTTTATTTTTAGATACAGCACATAGTTCACTTTAGTCTTTGGGATAACTACGTCAAGTTAAACAATTTTTGTTAGCTTAACGTGATCTACCCCATTTTTCAAGGTGAGCAAGACACACTTGCGGTACCTCCCCGGAGACAGGCGATCGAGTTTTAAGTGCTTCCAAAATACCCATCCTGGATCAGCCAGGCACCAACCACCACAGCTTTGGAAAATCACTGCGGTTTACCCGACCAAGGTCTCCCTCAGGGACGGCACCCAGACCTCTTTGGAGGAGGGGAGGTGGTTTTGTCTGAAGACCGGAAGGACCGGCAGGTGGAGGCTGGAGTGAAAGCACAAAAGGAAACGTAGCTAGGAGAGGCGCCTAGGGTTGGGAAAGCAAGGGAAGGGGACGCAGCCTGGACCACTGGTTGGTGTCTTTGGAACAGAGGCGGTCCCACTTACGCAGGACACGGGACAGTCGGCCGGTGGCCCTTCTCCCGCCCCGAGGCGGCCGGGCCTCGCAGCGGCCCCCGGCTACTCCACAGCTCCCGCCGGATGAGCCCGTAGAGGACGCTGAGGCACAGGAGGGGCAGGAAGAAGTAGGCGGTGGTGACCCACGGCATGATGCGCAGCGCGCCCAGCTGTGCCGGGCTTGGCCGACACTCGCGGCTGAACAGCACCGCCTCGGGTCCCAACTGCGGGGACAGCAGTGGTGCCGGCGAGGCGAGGGGTGGGGGAGGGCGAGCTGCGCGGTGCCGTTAGGGTCCAGGACCGCACCGACGTCGGGGTCCTGCTCGACGCCCACCAGAAAGAAGATGGGCCTGGCGGAGAGCAACGCCACAGCCCAGAGCCCGGTGATGCGCGCGCGGACGCGGCGTCGGGTGACGAGCACGCGGGCACGCAGCGGATGGCAGACGGCGAGGTAGCGCTTGACGCCGAGAGCCGGCACGTGCAGCAGCGTGGCGTACGTGCAGCCCTCTCCCGCGTATAGCGACAGGCGGCAGAGCAGCTGCCCGAGCACCCAGGGCTGCGAGCGCCAGAGGCGGTACAGGTCGAGGGGGAGCCCGAGCAGGATGAGCAGGTCGGACACGGCCGTGCTGCCCAGGTACAAGTTGGTGGTGGTCCGCATGTCCCGGTAGCGCCCGATCAGCAGCACCGTCACCACGTTGCCGCTCACCCCGACAGCGAACAGGCCCAGGCAAACGGCGGCCACGGGCACCAGAGCCCCCAGGGGGAAGGGCGAGCAGCGGCGCTCGTCACACGGCAGCAGCGCGCCGTCCGCGCCTTCGCTGCGGTTCCAGGGGCTGCCCAATCCCGCGCGGGGAATGTGCGCCGCCGTAGCGCTGGGCGCGCCGCGAGGCTCGCTCATGGCCCTGCGGGCCGGGCGCTTCCTTCGGCAGCCCGCCCAGCAGGCGCGCCCAGCCCGTCCCAGCCCATCCCGAGGCGACAACGGCCGACCTCGGCCGCGCCGCGCCCCGGAACGCGGGTCCGCGGCCTCGGCTGGAGTCCCTCCCAGAGCGGGCGGCGCGCACTCTGCGGCCCCGCCCGCGCGTTCTCCTGGGCGCGTCGCTGTCCCGGGCTTCGCCCTCCCAGGAGCCGCAGCGCTCGAGTCCTGCCCGGTTCCGGGAAGAGATTTCTGGACCCGAGTGACCTTGGTTCCCGGACCCCGTGTCACGGGGCGCTGTTGTCGGTCGGGTACAGGGGGGGGGGAACTTCCGAGGGACCTGAGCTGGTGGCTGCGTCCTGAGGGGTAGGGAAGGCTGTCGCAGTGCTAATAATAGGACAGGAGTTTACACCAGAATCTAGAGTCCCTCCAGTTCTAGTCATGGCTGTAAAACCGAGTGATTTCGGTCAGTCCCAGCCTCGCCCAGCTCAGTTCTCCTCTTGTGTGAATTTGCGAGTGGTGGTGGGGAGAGCCGACCGGATAATTCCAGTGATCTCTCATTGGAATAACTCTGAAATCTGTGGGCATTACTATGCCTGCGCATTTTAATGAACAGGGTATTTACTTGTACATTTAAGTACTTAAACATGTGCTATATTGTTCCTATGTACAAAATATTTTATAAATTTAAAAAAGCAGAGTCTTTGCCAACACTAGAACTAAAAATTCTGGGGGAAAAGATGAACAATGATTTATGAGTCAGTTCATTGTGGTCTTAATGACAATAGCTGACAGGGTTTAAAATGCATTTGGCCTTCTACTTTCCATTTAATCTTCTTTCCTCGGGAGCTCATTTTACCTCTGAGCAAAGTGGAATTTGCCTGAGATCATAGGGGCAGCAAGAGGCAGGGCGGGAATTTAGACTCTGGTCAGCCTGGTTTCCAGAGCCTGCATGCAGGCCTGACATGCCACCACACTGCCCAGCTCTGCCCCTGGTCACTGTGGCCTTCCAGTTCCCAAAGCATCAGAGATTGCCTTGAAGCTTTTGTGCTGAGCTCCGTATTTTTGTGCAGTTGGACAGATCTAACAGTTCTTCTCCACGTCTTGCTGTGATTTAAATCTTCAGCTTCTTCTCCCAAGGCTCTTGTCTCCATCTGGAAGTGACAACTGACTTTGCCCTCAGGCTACATTTCCCAGCTGTCCTCACACCAAGGTGCCATGGGCTAGGAGGAGGGGTACTTGTCACCTTCCTCAGCATTACTGTTCCCTTCCATCTTAAAACCTAGCTCTGAATCTGACTTTCTCAGACCCTGCCCTCCAGCTTTTTCCCCCATCGCTCACCTTCATTCTCAGTGCCTGAGCTGAGAGCTCTCAAGCACTCCTCCTGATAAAATTCACACCCACGCACAGCAGGTCTTGCAATGCCTCCCTCTCTGTCTTCACCCCATGTTATTAGGGGGTCCTTGTGGACATCCTCCCACTGCATCATTACCAGAGCCCACAGCCCCCCACTGGCTCAGCTGCAGTCGCCCCAGTTTCTGACCTCCACCCTAACTCTCTAAGCTCACTTTCTCTAGTACGTCCACTCCTGCAATCCTGGACCACACTGGGACCTCCACCTTTTCCTTGTCCCTCACCTGTCTCAAATCTTCAGTTCCCTCCTTGAACCAGCTTTAAGTCTATGACCATGCTTGTGTCCTTGACCAGAACACCAGCACACCTCTGGTGAAGCTGAATCCCTCCGTGCTCCATGCATGCTCCCAAAGGGTTGTTGAGTGGTTTCACTTGAAATTCACAGCATCTGACATGGCACTTAGTCTTCCCAGCCATTCTCATGTTCATCTTCCATTCACCTCCCACCCTGCAGACCACTTTTTGTTGATTCTTCCCTCTCCGTGATCCCCAATGCCGCCCCCCCCACCTCCTTTCCCTTCCTCACTCTCAGCTGGGGACCTTGCACTCCCGATTCTCGAAAAGAATACACGCAACTACAACACCCCCCCACGCCCTTGCACCTCTCCTCGTCTGCCCCGGGCACAGGTAAAGGAGTGGGTCAAGCCTACACCTGCAGTCAGCTCCGTCCGACAGTGTCTCCTCAAGGACATCACTAGCCAGTTGTCTCTGCTGCCTTATCAAGTTTTCTCCCTCTTTTGAATCATTTCCTTGTTTTCAGCAAAACTTCTCAAAAGAGTTTCTTTATTCGCTGTCTCCACCTTGACCTTCCTTCTTCCCTATAAGCAGAGAAAATGCAATTTCTTCATCTGTAGTTGATTGTATTTCCCTTGAGCTCTCACCAGCAGGGTAGCACGAGAAAAAGAATTACCTAGCCTGAGTGAAGAAACAGCAGTTCTGGACACACACTTACCCTCTCCCAAGCCTCCTCTCCCCTTCCTTTTCCTCAGGGGGCCCAGGTACGCAGGTCAGGGAGCTTAAAGGTCCTTAGAAATAGAATGTAGTGGGCACCTAGCCCTGGGGTGCCTGGGCTGACATCTGCAAGATTCCAGCTCAGTGTTCCCATTCTGCCTGGCCCAAGGTGCTCTGCTCACCACGGAGCCAGAGGTCTGTAGCTGGTGGATTTGCACTCCCTTTCTTTGACTCAGGTGATGCCTGGGGAGCATCTGACACCTTCCCCTGGGCTTTCGTGGGCTGTGTCCCAGGCCTGCTTCCTTTCTCCCAGGCTTCTCCACGGCCTGGTCTACCCAGCCTCCTCTGCAGCCTCCCTAACACGTGGCTCTGAGAAGGGCTAAATGGGTCTCAGTAGTGGCCGTGGCATGCAGGTTCCCCAGTGCTGGCTGCTCCTCTACAACCATTCTGCTCTACTCATTCTCGATTCAGACCCTCCCTTTCCCTGTCATATTCTCTCTGTCACTTAGTGCTAATGGACCTATTTAATTTACTTATCTATTTGCTGTCTGTCCCCCTCCATCTCCCGACATCATGTGGTGCAGAAGGCAGGGCTTTAGTTTGCTGTATTCTGTGCTCTTCCCTTGTGCTCTGATCAGTACCTGACACAAAGTGAGAATTCAATAAATATTTGTTAACTCAGGGAGTGAATAAACTGCAGAACCAGGTACCATTATTTTCTTTACAATTCCCAGCAGTCGAAAACAGTGTTCTGATTATAGTGGATGCTTAGGAAGTGCTTGCTGATAATTTAGTTTGAGATAGAATGCTGGTATGAAGAGATGGATTCATGCAAGCTTTTTCTCCAACGTTACATTTCAGCTCAAGCATAACTTGGCCCTCTGGGCAGGTCTGTCTCGTTATTATTATGGTGTGGCCTTCCTTGGCTTAGGAAGTAATGGAACCAGATCTTTGAGAATAACCAAATCTGCTTTCTATTTTATATTTCTAAGGTCACCCACCAACGTACTGACTTCATGCTTCATGTGATGAGAGGATGAGGAACTTCTCAGTACACCAGATATGTGAACACCCCTCTCCTCTGTTTTTGAGTACCTCTCCACCTGGTACTTGTGTGGGGCAAGAGTGAGTATAGGTCTGACCTGGCTATGCCTCTGTGCCCCTGGAAGCAGGAGGTTGGTATCATCAGTAGGTGCCTGACTCCTGACTGGAGGTCTCACATTGGCCTTTGGTAGGTTGGGACGTCCTGGATAAGAATAATACTGACACCTGCTATGTGCAAGGCACTGTTCCAAGTGCTGGCATATGTTAACTCATTTAATCTCTAACAACATCATTATGAGGTGGGAGCTTTCAGTATGTCCATTTTATAGATGAAAAAACCAAAGCACAGAGAAGCTATCTCTGGTCACACAGCTATTAAGTGGAAGTGCTACCTGCTTCCTGAGTCTGTGGGCATAACCACTGTGCTGTGAGGCCTCTTGCTATATAGATCATAGTGCTGCCAACCTTAGGAGTGGATGGTATGATCTACATTCTGCTAGGAAAGTGTCTTTCAGCTTGTATTGCAGAAACCAGATTTTGTGGACAAGTGGAAGGATATGGAATGTCTTAGGGACCATTAGGATATATCCATAACTTTTAGTTTTCCTATCAAAAAACTCCATAGGTTTTATACTCTTTTCTCCACAGAATAGTAGGACTATGAGGCAGAGGCTGAAAAGTGAATGCTTACAGCAACTGACACATATTTAATAACATTTTGAGCCAGGCTTACAGAATTCCAGGTTTTCTTGCTTGTCTTGCAAAATGGGAAGATGTGGCACCTCTGAGCCCACATTCCCTAGGCAGTGGCAGTCCAGGCTGAGTAGGGGCTGCTGCCTTTAGGGAGGGACCCACTCACTGTGTATGTACTCCACAGCCATCACTTAACCTGGTGGCTGTGTGGGCATCATGCCTAGCCCCTTCTTCATGTGCAAGACTGATACCTAGACTCCAGGTGCCAGGAAATGGCATTTAATAAAATAAATGTGAAGATGACAAAGCTGGGACTGAAAGGGGAGCCCCTGGCAGAGAAGACCATGAGCCAGCTCTGGCCAGACCTCATTTTGAGGATCTGACTGCCTCATTGACTTGGGCCTCAGGCTCTCCCAGGTTTCTCTTTGCACAGTAGGGACACGGCAGGCAAATTCAGGCAACACTTTGTGCGCTGCACAGATTCCTGTTACTCTGCAGCTGTTGCTTTAGCAATTTGCTCTTGGTTCCAGTTTCTCCTGAGAGAGAGGCCAGGTTCACCATGGCAATGATTATCAATCACATCATTGATAGTGGACAGGGAGCAAGTCCCTGTGAGGCCGGCTGGGAAGAGGGCGCAGGAATTGGAAAAAACCTTCTTGGAGGTTCCAACTGGCCTTCCAAGGCCCCAGTTGACATTGTCTGCCTGGCTCCCCACACAGAGCTCACCCTGGGCCCAGCTTCTGCCCCCCTTGCTGCACACCCTCTCCTGTGTCCGGTCAGTGGCATCTTCTGCATGCATCAGCCACAGGAAGACACTTAGCCGTCTGGATGCTGCCCATATACATTTAGAGAACTGAGCTGCCACTTCTTGAAATGTGGTACTGCCCTCAAAGTTCATGAGGTGAAGAGGTGTAGTCATGAGTCTATGGGCTCTGTAATGCAAAAAAAAAAAAAAAACTCAACTTGTTCATAAAGATGAAAATAAACATAAAACTATCAACATTGTTTATGATGCAACTGACTTGACTTGCAACATATGAAAGGCCTATAAGCACCACCTCTGAGTAACCTCCCACCTTTTCTCCTGATTCTTAAAATAACACCATCTGCCCTTCAGACCACAGCAGAGCCCAGTCAGACTGCCCCACAGTGGCCATCTACACACTGTTT